ACAATCTCCTTTCCATTGTACCCTTCAAAAATGGAGGGTTCTCAACTGCTTTATTGCTTTCTCCTGTGATGTAGTAGTCTTTCTGACCCTCCATTCATCTTGTTGTCACTCTTTGTTGAGTAGTAAGGGAGGAATTTACATCAATGCCCCACAACACATCCCAACCTTGTATTAGAAACATAGGAGATGTTCGCAATGCACACTAGCTGCTTATGGGGCGTTAATCGATGTGATCTCGTAAAGCAATGCAGTAGCTTTGCTAGTTTTGGCCATCCCCACAAATGCCCAATTTTATGTCTTGTGGGAAACACATAATAGAAGTTGGCATAGTTATCTTTGTTCTCGATAGTTCATTATTGATATCACATCGCCTTAAGCCAAATTAGGACCAGTTCTATGCTCTAATACAAAGGGTTGATACGAACAACATCAACTTTATCAAATTCTCTGTTACCATGTTCTTTTATTTCTTAGCTTATCGTTTTAATCATAAAAWATCATTATTAGAAGGGACAGTTTTGTTTTATCCAAGTGTTAACAACTTTCTCTTGAGTGAGAAAGTTATTTATCTATCTAGGAGATGGGTATAACTTACCTAAAAAAATGAATTTTCTGTGGGTCCCACATAAATCTAAAAAAAGAATATGGGTATTTTGGTATCTGGAAACCAAAATCCCATTGAATGACCTTCCCCCTCTCAAAATCTGAAAAAGGAATCGATTTTTAAACAATTTCTTTTTTTTTCCTTTTTCTCCTTGGTTGCCGACACAATCTCCTTTCCATTGTACCCTTAAAAAATGGAGAGTTCTCAACTGCTTTATTGCTTTCTCCTGTGATGTAGTAGTCTTTCTGGCCCTCCATTCATTTTGTTGTCACTCTTTGTTGAGTAGTAATGGAGGAATTTACATCAAYGCCCCACAACACATCCCAACCTTGTATTAGAAACATAGGAGATGTTCGCAATGCACACTAGTTGCTTATGGGGCGTTAATCGATGTGATCTCGTAATGCAATGTAGTAGCTTTGCTAGTTTTGGCCGTCCCTACAAATGCCCAATTTTATGTCTTGTGGGAAACACATAATAGAAGTTGGCATAGTTATCTTTGTTCTCGACAGTTCATTATTGATATCACATCGCCTTAAGCCGAATTAGGACCAGCTCTATGCTCTAATACAAAGGGTTGATACAAACAGCAATGACTTTATCAAATTCTCTGTACTTGTTGCCTTGGTTTTACTGGATGATGGAGGTCCAGCTCACGACCCACCGAACCAGCTGACAACAACTCACAAATAGAAGGGAACTTGCATTAGATAAGGACATCTAGAGAGAACC